GTGTTTTGTATGTATATCAATTATGTCTCTGACTCAAATTTGTTTTCTTTCTTTTGAAAACCTGTAACTACTTCCTTTAAAGATTTCGGGCCAATTGAGAGTCATTTTATAAAAATTAAGGATCGAGGGAACCAGCAGTTAGCGTAATGGTTATGTCGCTGGACTCCCACGTAGTCGACCGCGGTTCGTGTCCTGGACCCGGTGGCTTAAAACTCACGCCGGGCGCGTGTGCGTGCGTGCCCAAGATCCCGAGAAGAGAATGGAGGAGAAGGGATTGCGGCGTGACCATCCCCCCTGGGGGGTGATTTCTCGCTTTCTGTCTCTATGTCTCTCTCTGTCTGTCTGGTGAGCGCACGCGCCCTACAGTGAAAATCTCTCCAAAAAAAAAAAAAATTAAGGATCGATTGATTCAGGGAAGATTCACTTTTCACTTCTGCATGCTTTCCTCGTTTCCGATAAAATAAAAAGACGGGGAAACATTCATGTTGCCCTCCAGATATACTCTCACTCTGGAGGGCTCCTGCTTCAAAGTTAGGCCACTACTCTTGTAATAGGGTGAATTGTGTTCACTCTGTCCCTACTCTAATTTACATGTCGAAGTCTTAATCCTCAGAGTAAACACTGACAATGAGACTATGTTTGGACATAGAATCTTTAAAGAGGTAATTAAGATGAAATGAGTTCATTGGTCCTAATCTAAATTCACTGACACCATTAAAAGGGGGCAATTAGAAGATGACACAGGTACACAGAGAAGACCAGGTGAAGACAGAGAGAGAAGATAGCCACCTGTAAGCAAAGCGGAGATCTCAGAAGAAACAATATTGATGATTCCTTTTCTCAGACTTTCATCTTCCAGAATCATAAGAAACTAAATTTTTGTAGTTTAGACCACATAGTTTGTAGTGGTGGCCCCAATAAGCTAAGTAGTAATATATATTACTATTAATTATATTAATATTTATCATTTGAGTTAGATTAGATTAGTTTGTTTAGATTAGTTAGTTAGAAGGTGGCCTATGTGTAATTTGCATAAAAAATAATTTTTTCTATCCTTCTGTAAACTAGTTTTGCTGACACCAAGGAGTCACTTTCTTTTTTTCTGACACTTTATTATTTGTTGAAAAATAGTCTAATTACAGTCTTCTCTCAGAGTCACAGTTCTAATTATTAGTCACATTGACCTTTTCTGCTGAATAAAAAGAAACAAACGTTACATCATAAACCATAAAAGCACTGGCATTAAGTGCTGGCTGCAAGGAAGTACATTCATTATGTACTCCCAAATTAGAATGAAACATCTTTTCAAGCCTGCATTTGAATATGTTTGAGATTCTTTCTATATTTCTTTATTTTTAAAGGAGCAGACAACAGGCTTTCATTACCACAAACTCTTTGTTATATATATATAAAAACTTAAATCAATATATATTTCTTAATGTAATGACTCCCGTGGAGTTGGCATGCAATCTCAAATTTTTCCTAACTCTTTAAATTCTTTGACTTTGAGTTACATTATCTAAATTATTTTGGTGGAGTATAGTTGATAAAAGTTGTCTGCAAACACTCATCAGATTGAGTTCTGTTAGGCAGCAAGTGTACTGAGGAGACTGAAAGTCAGAGTATCCATATTTTGAGATCTGGACAGTTTTGATGTGGCATATTTAACTGTGGGTGTTTCCTTAACGAAGAAATTCAAATGTAAGCTCTGGTCTTTTGTTGACTTTATATCCAAATGAGTCTATGTAGTAAAATACTTATAACTTTATTTTAAAAATCAATTTTCAGAAACTCCAGTTGAATCCTTCTAGGGAATGCCTCTAACTAATTAGGAATAATGCATACATTTATTTTATAGTTACAATATATTCTTACTTATATTCTTTGCTAAAGAATATACATTTTCATTTAGATGCTTTGAATATGAGCTGTTAAGATCTGGTTCCAAAATATTGCTGATCAAAACCATAAATTCTTATTTAAGAAACAGACTAATTCAGAAATCTAGAAGAAAATTTGAATGAGTATGAAAATACAACTTAATACAGGATTTGAATTTAAAGTTTATAAGGTTCATAAAGGTTGTTAATGAACTAACTCTCAGCATTCCAGCATTAAGTAAGTATAAGAATATATTTTGCAATATGGTCATTGGTGCCATGTATAAAGTAAAGCAATATAAGGGACATAGGGAGTACTTGGGTGTGCTGCCTAAGGGTGGTTTCCTAGAAGCACAACCTGGGACCCAGGTTCTTATTCAAAATATTAGCGAGAGGAGGAATTGTTCTCAGGATAAAGCTGATTGGAAAGATGAGCAAGAATGGTCTCAGCTGGAGACATTCAGGAAGCCTTAAAGCTCTATAGCACAAATAGTACTGTAGCACTGATCCGACCCTGAAGTGGAGTCTGTTGGTAGCCTGTTTTAGTTGGTTGCTGGCCGAGGTGGTGTTGCATGGCCTAGAAAAAAAGCACCTTCATGTGACCGAAATCAAGTATCTGGATAAAGAAGGAGCAATGGTAAATTCTTGTCTAGGAAATTCCACAATCCAGCCTGTAAAAGAGCTGGGAATGGGGAGCTAACAGTATCATTCACTTATCTGAGAAGGAGATAAGATCATTAGGGAGAAAAATATCTAACTTCTTTAAGAAGAATATTCTAGAGGGAGAGAAGAATGATGGTAGAGACTAGAAATTGGCTCACCTGAAAATCTTGCAAATGAGAGAGAAAGTGAAAAGAGATGGGGACTGAGAGCAGATCATGTGGGAACTTGTAGGGCGTGAAGTGAGATGTGACGTCACTGGAGGTTTCTAAATGGAATGCATAGTTTGAATTTGGTTTTTAAATGTTTACTTTAGCTGCTACAAGGATAAAAGATGATAGGGAACAAGGATATGAACTGCAGAATCAATACATGCCCTATCTACATCTTTTAATTAAAGAACGACATGCTATCGATGCTATTGTGAATTTATTAATGCTTTAGCATGGTTTTACATGGGATAATTATAGTTGCACTTGTACAGATCTATAGATACTATATGTAGACTGGAATGATATTGAAATTATTTAGCAAGTAGTAGTATAGAGATTCTAATCAATTAGTATGGAAACTAAATTTTAGCCCAACATATAGACAAGATACAGTATTTACTTGGTTTATAGACATTGCTTGGTACACAAATAGATTTGTAGGCTCCTTGTAACATATAACCCCTTGTCTTCTTAACTGTTCTAGATTTCAGTACAAAAAAAATGGTAATTTTTTGGTCCATCTAAAAAAAAAGATGGAATGGCATTGGACCAAGTAGGATGGCATTCTATGTTGGAATGCTAGAAAGCCAAATGTAGTATATATTGGAACGTCATATTTGAAAACAAAAAATCCTGTAAGCCAGCAGTCAGAGATTTATAAACTGACACCTGGGAGTTGTGCCTAAGGCCATTTCTTTCCTAGATAGCTTTTTGTATACTAATTTTATCTTCATCTATTCTCTCACTGTTCTGGTGACAGTGCTCTTCTTGCCATTCCTTAAGAAGTTCAATCTTGTTCCAGTCTTAGAAACTTCTTGTGCTCATTGCTGCCTAGAACATTTTTCCTCCATGAAGCTACATTGCTCACTCTCTTATTTTACTTTTTCTTTTCTTTCTTTCTTTTTTTTTTTTATTAAATGAAAGGATATTTTCTGGGATTAGTTTATTGCTTTTACAAAAACAAAACAAAACAAAACAAACAAACTAAAACTACACAAAACACAAAAGCCAACAAACCCCTTTCACCCCCAACACAAAACCAAAAGAATAGAATAGAGTCCAGTGTTCTCAGTCAACTTACTGCACATCAATACAAACCGACATGCTTTCGTTTTCTGTCTCTTCCTAGAGCTTGAATCCTGATTTATTTTAGCAGAGGCAACAGGAAAGATTGTGGCATTAAAAAATTCATTTATACTTTCATGGTAACACAAGAGTGATGTTCTTTCTGGGCAAGCTCACAAATGGTATTAGGTTGGAAGCTTAACTTGAAGGGGTACTAAGACTCAAATGAGGAAAAAAAAAGGAAAAAAAAAAGATAACAACCTTTGGGAACAGACAGGGACATTTAACTATAAGAATGCCAACAATATTTAAACCACCTTTATTAAAAAAAGATTTTGGGGGGAACTTAAAATATTCCACTCTAAATGTATTTATGTTAGCTGTCAGTGAAAGAATGTCACCAATAGACTGTGAACACCTGCAATGTAAATTCATACCTTTTTAAAAATTAAAACAATTTTTTTTTTCTGGTGAATTTCAGCCTGGCAACTATTACAATGGCTACAGTCTAAAGCTCAAACACATTTTAGCAATTCTGAAATTGAAATGCGTACAGACCAGGTAAAATTTACATCATAACAAACATTTCCACCTAAGACTGTGGGGACACTTGAGTCTTCCGCATTGATCTTAGGGCCTTTTCAGGCAGGAACTTTTCTAAGTCATCAAGGTTATTTTCAACTTCACTTTAAGTTTTATTTGTATTCAATTTACCTTTATTTATTTATTTTACATTTATTCACAGTTTAACATTACAGCCTACAAAATTAATTTTCCCATCCAGAATACAGTGTATGTTGGCTTAATCAAAGATAATGCCATGTCTATTACCAACAGATAATTTTTTGCGGTTCTTAACCCTTTTACTTCTTTCTTTTTTTCCCCTTGATTCCCTACCTCTCACCCTCTGCCATTTCTCCCACACTATCTCTGGTGTCCACAGCTGCTCTCTGGGTCTTTATATTGTCCAGTCTCTGCCACAGAGTGCAGACATTTGGAATATAAGTCAACTTCACTTTCAGTCTCCTTCTTGGGCTCTGGCACTGCCTGCTGTTCTTTCTGGATGGATGTGGCTGGAGCAGACTCTGGATGGCTGCAGGGCCACAGGAGCTGCAGCAGTTGTAGCCACAGCCTTTTCCTCCTTGTGTTTTTTGTTGGTCTTGTGCTTTTTACTCTTTTTATGTTTTTTTTTTTTTTTTTCTCCCTCTTGATACAAATTCCTTGCCGGCGATGAGCTTGGTGTTGGGAGTTTTTAGAGTTTTGACCAGTACAGCAGATAACCAGTTTGTGGAGGGTGACTGAGACTGGACAGGGGATGGAGGTGCTGGGGACTTTTTAACTGCTGGCTCAGGAGAACCAGAGATAGATTTACAGGCGTGGCGTTGCAGTCTTTTTATCTTCTACTTTTTTCTTTCTTTCTTCTTTTTTTTTTTGTAGGTTCCAGAGACCTGGAGACCCGGAGACTTTCCTAATGGGCCTATTGTTTGCAGATGAGTTCTGACTTTTTTGGGGGTGATCATCACTTCCCAAAGAAGTGGAGGACTTGAGGTCTGAGGAGCTCGAGACCGTAGAGAGGGAGAAGGCCATTTGCTTGGTGGTGGCGATCAGGCCTCTGGGGTACAGGGACTCGGGGAGACCCTTTTCTATGCTTCGATGACAAACGCCAACATCTCTTGGCTACTGGGGAGTTTTGGGAGGTGGAAAATGGGAGACATGACACTTTGGTGGTGGAGGCGGTGATGACCTTTGTTTAGGGGAAGGAAACGGAGAAGCCGTTCTCTTTGGAGGCGGAGAAGGAGAATATCTTCTGGGAGAAGGTGAGTCCCCACAGGAAGGAGGAGGACTCCTCGGAGGCGGCGGGAAGGGAGGCGGTTCAGGAGGAGGACAGCGCCGCCTTCCGGTGGATGGTGGGCAGCGACTTCACTCCCACCCCGGGAGCGGGATAGACGCTCCCGGAAGGGCCATGGCGGAGGCAGCTGCCTATCTCACGGTTCTTCACACGGGACACCTGGGTCACTCGCTTTATGAAGAGGACGAGGAGCCAGAGTAAGATGAACACTGCCGTTTTCGGCTTCGGCTTCCGTCCTGGCGTCTTCGCCCAGAATCTGCCCCAACCATTCGCCGCCTTCACCTTCGGATTCAGATAACGCTACTTTCCGAGGCCTCGGAGTTGGTGAAGGAGACTCTCTTTTCTTAGGACCTTTATGTTTTGTCACGTTACTGAAGTTCTCCCTGGAGACAGAAACACGACTTTTTCTTGTACGGTTTGACTGCTGGGGAGTAGGGGAATGAGTTTCCGGCGGTGCGGTTGCTGGAGGTGATGCCATGGAGGACTTGGCGAAGGAGATAACTACCCGTTTTCAAGGGGGGCTGGATGGCCTCCTGGGAGGCTTTAGAGGTGACTCAGAAGGACAGGAAGAGGATGATGAGCTCCTTCCAGACAAAGAGGCTGATGAACGCGGCGCCGCCTTTGTCTTACTGGAGATCTCCTGGGCCTTGGTGGAGGAGGCATTCATGCTGGCGGAGTTCCTGGTGTTGGCTGTCTTCTTGGGCGTGGCCGCCTCGGAGGTGAGTATGCTCCTGATCCGGATCTATGGCACCGTCTAGGCCGAGTGTGAGAAGGAGAGCGAGAATGGGTCCTGGATCTTGACTTGGAACATAATCGGGATCTTGGTCGAGTTTTCTTTTCTTCTTCATTTTTGGATTAATTAATTAATTAATTAATTTTTTTTTTTTTTTCTGGAGAAGGTTCTTCAGGCTCTGGTACAGGTTCAGGCTTGGGAACTCTCAGGATGTCACTGCTAGAAGTGACCTCTTGTAATGAAGGTTCTTGTACTTTCACTTATGGTTCCTGGAGCTCTGGAGTTTTTCCTTCTCCAGAGCTGGCGAAGGACTGCAGCTCTGGTTTGGTGACTGGGAAATTGAGAATGACTGCACTTTCTCTCTCTGCTAATCTAGGCCGAGTGTGAGAAGGAGAGCGAGAATGGGTCCTGGATCTTGACTTGGAACATAATCGGGATCTTGGTCGAGTTTTCTTTTCTTCTTCATTTTTGGATTAATTAATTAATTAATTAATTTTTTTTTTTTTTTTCTGGAGAAGGTTCTTCAGGCTCTGGTACAGGTTCAGGCTTGGGAACTCTCAGGATGTCACTGCTAGAAGTGACCTCTTGTAATGAAGGTTCTTGTACTTTCACTTATGGTTCCTGGAGCTCTGGAGTTTTTCCTTCTCCAGAGCTGGCGAAGGACTGCAGCTCTGGTTTGGTGACTGGGAAATTGAGAATGACTGCACTTTCTCTCTCTGCTAATGAGGTGATCATCTTCTAGGGGAAAGAGATCTGGATTTGTGTCTTCTTGGGCTTCAAGACCAGTCTCTTTTTTCCTCTGCTGTTTTTTCTTCTTTGTCCCTCTTCTCTTTGTTGTCTTCTTGCTTTTTGATAGATGTCAGTTTTACTTGTTCTATTTTTTTTTCTCTTTCTTAAGTTCTAAGAAAGCTGAAGGGATTCTAGTCATCTTTTCTTGTGCATTTAATAAGTGCCACAGTTCTCCCATAAATTCTCTAGCATTCTTTTCATTAAAAAACTTAGTCAGGTTGATATGCATCATTTGGAGTCTGCATTTTTTTACTTCTAGCTGGTTGACTATGAACTCATCACATCATCTAAAACCCAAGGATTACTGTTGCTTATTTTGTTTTCCAAGTCTTTAGAGCCTACTAATTTACTTTGCTCATGTCCACCTTTTTTTTTTTTCCTAGGCATTCTGCAGATTTCAACAGCTTCAGTAATTTATTCTGTTGCTGAACTGATTATAGTTCTGTGCTTGTTCCTGGAAAGAATCCCATGAGCATCCTGCTGTCTTGCTGGGAGATGGTTACCTATTCCAGGGTGCACTGTCCTGCCACCCATATTTTTACTCTGATATACCTTCCTCACAGTAGCCTTTCTTATTTGCCTCATCTGCATCAGCATGTATTCATACATGCACACACACACACACACACACACACACACATACACACATTCTTTGCTCCCATCTTCTTTTCTTTATTTCTTCATCTCCCCCAGAGATTTTGTATTATATGTTCTTGTTTGTTTGTTTGCTTTTCTAGAGGGCTGTGTGCTCAGCTCTATCTGCTATCAATGGGACGAGATCATGTCATAATACTTTTTTCTCTACTTTTGCATCCCTAAGGATTTAGAGCCCTTATCCACATACACCTGGCATGATTTTCAAGCCATCATTCAAACTGCATTGACCATGTTGGATCTGGTTCTCTATGCCCTGTGTTTAATGATTGTGCTATGAGGCCAGACCTATATTATGTGTGTGCTTGTTTATTTATTATTTTTATACAGTATTTTGCTATACTGCAATCTTTCTGACTCAGCCTTCCCAGTAGCTTGGACTACAGGTGTGTATCACCATGCCAGGCTTTCAGGGTAGGCCAGAATAGAACTAGGCCTCTCCTATGGCCTGCTAAGCAGTAGTGTCAACCAGCATGTGCTACAGCAGTTGGGCCTGTACTTATTTGTTAAATGTAATTTTTCTTTTTACTGGTATGGAAGTTCCCTGAAGGGAGGAATTTTTATTTTCTTTTTTAGGGGTTTAACCTTAGAGTCTAAGACAGTATCTGGTTAACTCTCTAATTAGCAGATGCCATTAGTCCCTTAAGGCTCAAACTTACTTAAGTTATTTCTCCATCCTGGGAAATAATACCCTGTTTTCTGTGAGGTCTTGTTCCATCCTTGGAGAGACTTCCTTCTTTTTAACTGGTGTGTGCGTGCGTGTGTGTGTGTGTGTGTGTGTGTATGTATGTGTGTGTGTGTGTGTGTGTATGTGTGTGTGTGTATGTGTGTGTGTGGTTTAAAAGGGTTATTCCCCAAAGATGCATCTACAATATATCAAGAAATAAATATCCTTGCTGAGTATTCTCTAAAAAAATGCAAATTCCTCCAACCCTTGAATAATGCAAAGTATTGGTAAAAGAAGAGACATACTCCTCTATACATTTTAATGCAGAGTAGTTGTGTCAACTGCTCCATTTCAGTCAGTGGAAAGATAGACTAAGGAAAGCTGAATTACACATTTAAGGGCTAGAGCTTATGGTGATCCACATTAAGCACTTTGTGTTACAGAAATTGCTATGGCTGGTTTTCCTAACACTGTATCATTTACTTATCGTAATTGAGAGTGGACAGGAATGAGGATAGACTGGAATGGGAAGCTGACAGCATATATTGGTTCCAAATGACTTGAGTGTCTCAAACAGAATTTTATAATAGTACAGTCTCTTTACTATATCCAGAGGCACTTGGCATTCTTTTCAGTGAAGAGGGCAGAGAAGCAAATACAAGTGGTTATATCAGAATTTACAAAATATAAATGATATCTTTATCAAACATTTTTTCTTTCTATTTTAATTGCTAGAGAGACACTGTGATTAATAATATATTTTATTATACTTCTTTGTACCTGGTTATATTTAGAAATACTGGTTATTAGGGCCAACAGGTGGTGTGGTGGTTAAGGCACTGGACACTCCCACATGGCCAACCATGGTTAGTCTTGGACCTGGTGACTTGTTTTCTCACTTTCCCTCTCTCTCTCTGCCTTTCTTTGATCAATTTAAAATGAATGAATGAATAAATAAAATTAAATAAGTAATTCTTTAGAAAAAAATTACTGGTTATTTATAGAAATACTCTATTTGAAATTTGTGGATTTTTCTTTTGAAACAATTTAAGAAATTAAGGTATTATTTCAAAAATATTGACTCTAAGAGGTGTCAGAAATGTTTCACAACAAAGAATAAATATTATTTTCTTGAATAAAGTATACTATTATAAAAAAACAATGCTCTGCTTTTGGAGATTATATTAGAGGATGGACAAGAAGGCTTAGTAGTAACCTGTTTGTTGTAAAGGGGTCTATTTTTATTTCTTTTGTAATAGTTTTATTAATATATAATTCTTGTATCTATGTAGTAGTTAAGGTGCTGAACTCCCATGTGGCCAACCATGGTTTGAATCCTGGACCTGGTGGCTTGAAAAGCGTGTTGGGCACATGTGTACGCATGCCCAAAATTCCAGGAGGAGAATGGGGGAGAAGGGATTGCATCATGGCCATACTCTATAGGAGGTGATTTCTCAGTTTTCTTCTCACTGTCTCTCTGTCTCTCTCTGGCGAGTGCTTGTGTCACTTACCAGAGAGAGAGAGACATAAGAAAGCACTCACCATAAGGAGTGCATAATGAATGATCATGTCACAATTCTTCCACCATTTCTCTTTAAGGGATTTTGAGGGCATGCATGCACACACACTCAGCCTGATTCTCAAGCTGCTGGATCAGGGACTCAAACTGTGTGATTGCCCATTGGGAGTCAGCTGCCTTAACCAGGCAATGGAACCAGCCTGCAATATGTTATCTTTTGTGACTAAATTCTCTATTTTAATATAATGTTTTCAAGGTACATCCATATACTATAAACCAGTACTTTATTCTTTTTTATGGCTGCATATTTCATTGTATGAATATACTACATTCTATTGATTTATTTGGGAGTCAATAGGCATTTGGGTTGTTCCCATTTTTTAGCTATTATAAATAGTGCTGCGCTGAACGTTTGTGTGTGAATTTTTTGTGTGGACAGGATTTAATTTCTTTTTGGGTGTATACCAAGAAGGGTAGTTACTGTGGTTATTCTATCTGATGCTATAATGTTGAGCTCTTTTCATTTATTTAGTGGCCTGTTTTATCTCATGCAAACTTCTCTGCAATGCAACATGCCTTCTCCTATGATCATTGTGATATTTTTATTATTTTGTAATCCTGGAAACCACATATTTAAATCTGTTAGAACTATCTATAATCCAAAATGAGCATGTGGCTCATATGTATGTCTGTGTGGAGTTTATGGAACAGACTAGATGATACATGTATATGACCTGCCTAGGTAATATTTTTGTTTATTTTTCAGTTCTTAACTGTTTCCAGGTAGATTTACAAATATTGAGACTTCATGCTCTTATTTGAATAGTATGGCAACTATAGGGTCCATGAACCTATGATGATCTACTTATATAAACATAAAACAGTTTATGCTTGGATAATGTTTACTTATATATACATTTTCTAATAGCAAAGCAATAACTCTAAAAGAGAAGTGATTCAGAATGATAAAGATGATCCTAAACAGAGGAATACAATTATGCCTATTTTAAGAGTTGTCTGAAACAAATTAATATTCCTTGTAAGTTATTTAAATTTGATTTTGACAATGAAATTATATATTAAAGGAAAAAAGATTTAAATTAATAGGTTCATAAGGACATGAGCTGCTGCTTTTCTATATATTTAATTATAGCTAATATTTGCAGTTTGGAGGAGGTACATGTATTTTTAACTAGTGATGCTTCTAATGACTCTGTGTTGTCATTTTCTAAAGAGCATATGTGAGATAGTTAAGGCTGTTAGCAACAGATAGATTTTTCTAATATGTACATATTTAAAGTTTTACTTTTGACTTTTAAATAAATATTTTAGCAAAATTATCATCAGAGAATTAAACTGA